ATTAAATAAATAAATATATTCATTTTCTTCTTAAACAAAACAAAACAATAAAAAGTGTTGAATGCAAAGAACTTGGCAAATGATTAAAATAAAGCTTAAGCAATTATTTGCAGCTATCTAGCTATCAGTTGGATCAGTCCAAGCACATTGTTCCATGGGTCCAAGGTGAATCTACAAATTCTATTTCAAGAGCAACTTTAAACAGCACGTTTTTATTTTTTACCTCTTATTGCTTTCAATTGTTGTCTGCTACGAATTGGAAGACATTACTACATAGATATATGTATATATATTTAATATTCCAGCCACATTCGCGTCAGTTATGCTGAAACATATGACTGTGAGCCTATGCTTATCGCAATCGAGCAAAATTCTTGCTGGCGTATGGCTTTAATTGCATATAAAGCCATTATCAAGAAATACCCAGATCTTCTCTCTCGCTCTCTCATGCACTCTTTGACTGAGTTTATGTCTGGCAGGTGTATGGCCAAGCAGAATCTGGTAATTGGTTACAACCGGCGCTAACCAGTCTGGTTCAGTGTTGACTCGTCTGGCCAAAGCTCTCGGTGAGCTTTATGAAAGTCGCTGGAGCTGTAGCTAGGCCAGAAACTACGCTGTGAGCACGCCCGGCCACATCTTATCATCCAGATCTATTGTAGTTTTTTTAGTGCTCAAATTCGTGCCCTTACATTGCTTACATATTGATTTATATTGTTATGTTGTTTGTAGTGTTCCTCATGAGCCTCATTGGTTCCGGTACGCAAAACATATATCTTATCTCCACTAAATAGCTCAGGCAATTTTTAATTGTTGTCAGTCTATAAAAATGATTTAGATCCATAAATCTATAAACAAGTGTTTCATGTGTTCTTGTTAATTGACTTATTTCATCTGGAGTTTATTTTATCTATTTCACATTTCTGATGAGATCACTTGTAATTGCTTTAGTTAGTTATAGGTTTCAAATAGATTAGTATATTTAATTAAGAGTAGTTGGTTATTTGTTTTTTGTAACTAATTGTAATAATTAATTGAGTAAAGATTACTGTTAAGAACTGAGGCTGTAATTGAGCAAATTCTAATCGAACGATATGCAATACAGTTTTCAGGTGGATTTCACTTTTCGATTCTTGGTGTTTATTACAGTATAGAATTTGATTGATAATAAATATAAAATATATACACAATTCAGCTTATTTAAATACAAGAAAATGTGTTTCTGTTGATTGATAAAAACATTTCTATTGATATTACACTATGAGAATCCACTTAAATGCTAGCTTTGCTTGGCATGGAATATAATACAATATATTTATCTCAATAATATATATTTAAATTTCTTTTAAATGTTTGACATGTAAATTGCATTATGAGGCTCTTCACATCGTACAACTTTTATTAGGACAAACACAATTTTGATTGTTTGCTCATTTTGAATGCCTCACATCAATTGACGGCAAATGTTTCGTACAACTATTTATATGGAAACATTAATTTAAATATTAATGAGAGATTAGGCAGTGACAGAGGAAAACAAACGTTTGCCATTAAAAACAATTGAATATGAATAGAATTGAAATGCCAGCATTTCTTCAATTATGTACAATAAATATATGTATATGTACATACATACATATATCAAATCTATTATTTCTATTAAATTCTGGCGAAGGGGAAGAACTTTCAGCTGCAATGCTCGATGAATTTGTATATAAATATTTATTTACTTTTTCTTATTTAACAATTAAGAGCAGCGAGTGTATTAAAGACATTATGACGCCATGTTACTAGAGAGGCACACACACATGCACAGACGGATATGCTCCGATGCTCAGCATAGGGGTGAGCCACAATGTAAGCTTATGCATGTGTGAATGAGTATATATATGTGTGTGTGTGTGCTATCTATGTGCATCTCTTTTCTTTCGCTACTGCCTTTGATTTGCTGCTGCAGCTGTGTGTAGTCCATACAAAGGAGTAATATATAAAGCCGTTGTAAGAACTACTTCTCTCTTTCTCTCTTCCTCTCTCTGTTTCCTTGCATCTCCCTTTTGAACTCTTTGTTTGTCCCACGCTGGCGCTCTCTCCGACTCTCACTCTCTCTCACTCTCACACACACATGACCAGATACAGCCAGCGGCAATTTAAAGAAACTGGCACGCAAGTCATTTAAAACCGAAGCCATTTGTTGAACTTGATGTCAAAGCGAACTCAATTGTCACGCGAGCAGCTGCACATGCAGATCGAGCGGCAAAGTGCAACAAGTTTGTGTGTGTGTGTGTGTCTATCCATGTGTGTGTGTGCGTGTGTGTGGTAGAGTCGGTGAATTTATTACGTTTGGGATATTCCAAGTCACACGCGTTTATTACGCATGGAATACGAATACAACCAAAATTGAACTGATTTCGGTGCAAAGCATTGTAAAAATTTCTTAATTAGTAAGTTCAATTTGATTAACTAATTTGTAATACAATAAAATTTTTCACGAATATATGTGAAGCACAGTTCCTAAAAAAAAATCGCGTCGCACATAAAAATTTAAAAATTTTGCGAGTCAGCTGCTTTTATTTCGGTTTGCGAAATGCGATGCATATAAAAATAAATTTGGGAATTAAAAATAAAATTAACTACAAGCAAAAAAAAAAATTCTTGTAAAGTTTGCCTTTGCCTGACACTAAGTCCCATATTTTGGCAATGTTTTTGCAGCGTAAATAAATCTGTTTGGGTTCTTAATATTTGCTGAAATGAGAATTGTGCAAGCCAATATATGAACGATAAGATTTTTATTATTATTATTATTTTTTTTTTTTTTTTCGGAAATGTTTCTTTTTCTTATCGTCCGTAATGCAACAAATATTTTGCATGCAAACAAATGAAACGAAAGTTACCTCAATCATTTTAGGCCAGCTTTGTGTGTCTATGTTGGCACATTGATCATATTTTTAGCTGTTAGTTCAGCTACTCCTTTATTTGATTAAGATTTATTTATATTATTCGTAACTCGACAAGTAGGTGTTAAATTTAGCATTGGCAACTGTAAGGCCAGATGTTTCAATTGTTATTATAGTTTCTGTAAATGTCTGAGCCAGATTAGTTTTTGTTGCGCAGAATTATATATATATACACATATATGCAAAGCGAATTGGCATTGATCATTTTGAAATCGTCCAAACTTAATTACAAGTTATATCATAATTATCTCGAGTTTGTTTCTAATAAGCTTCTGACAACACGGCGTATTCGAAATAAGTTAGCACTCAAGAGTCTCGTGTCGTCAGTTAAACTCGGTATTTGTTTGATATAAGAGATTCGTATTCGCCTTGGGGGAATTTCTTCTTATACTCTTATACCTCGAGTCGTTCTTTGTTCTTTGTTGCGAACAAAGGAAATTTCATTCATGTAAATATTTGGATGCGCAGTATTATATCTTTCAGTCTGTCTGCATTCGACACTACTCGCACAGCTGGCCAGCTATACTCGCGCCCCTTCTCGCACTCGGTACAGTTGATCCAACGCACATGCGACGATCGCCTGTTAGGGGGAAGTGCGATAAGATCATTTCTGTGATATGGAGTACTTTGCACACTTCCAACTAGTTTTAAAACCTAAACCCATCAGCACTTCAACGACTTAAGTGCCCATTCTGGACTATCTAATCACATTTGTTCTTGCATTCGACTTTAAGTCATTTATTAATCTATAATTGCACATTAAGGTATTGGCCATGGGCTTTGATTTGGCTTACAACTGATAGCGTTGGCAGTACTCAATGATTATTATGACTGGGCAACATTTATGAACTTCAAGATGTTTTTAGTCTAGCCGAAATCTGAATTCGTGTGGTAGTATACAAATTGATATAATTTTTTATTTTATTTATTTATTTATTTATTTTTTTTTAAATTTATCATTAGGTATTTGATAGTGCTAATAATAAATTTTAAGAGAGATTTCAACTGCAGTATTTTTAAGCGAAATGAAGAATTCAAGTATTCAACCTTCTGGAGATCCATCCTTATTCCTCTGCATTAAAAAAAAACCTCAAAAAGTATTCTTCATGAAATTCAGGGTATGCTCTATTCGAGCTCTTACAACAAAAGCTTTGCTACTTTTTTATTTTTTAAAGAAACCGGAATCTTTTGTATATATCAATAGCTACTTTTTCATGGAATTGTTTGTAAGAAATATTCTGTAGATTGATTTTGAATTGAATTGTATGAATTTTGCTGAGAATGGAGAAATGAATGCCTGATAAAAGAAAAGCATATAAGATTATCAAATTTCAAATTTGCAATTTCAGATGAGCAATTAGCAGGCCATTCTTAAATGCATGAATCATATTTTGACGCCATTTAGTAGTTTCCCTATTGTGAAATAAATTGAAAGAAAAACACACATTTTATAGAGTGCCAGCGTGTGTGAAGCTTATAGAGTAAACAATCATAAAGTTGTCGATCGAAAGTAGAAGGCAAATCTGTGGTTAAATTGTAGTGGAGCATGTTTTAGAGATAGCGCGAAAATGTATTATTTAGCACAAAAATTAGCGTAGCAATTTCGTATATTTATTGGTGCGTTATCACAAGGCCCATATGAGCATGTAAATCAAATGAAATCGTATCGAATCCATTAATCCCGTATACGCCGCGTGGACGCTCGTAAAATCAAAACAACGGCTTGAGTCTAACTGCCTTAGACGCTATGCGGGTATTTTTTATTTCAGATTTTTTTTCCGTTGTCAGCTCCTGACCTGTTTTTGTTAGCTGCCGCGAAAACTAGTTTGATTGACTGGAGTACAGTTGCCCCTCCAGCTCAAACAAAAATTCAATCAAAACTCAGTCCCTGGTCGGCCTGTTGATTTGATTTTATTCCATGCGGCGCTAGCGTCGACTGCGACGCTGATGCCGACGGCGACGGCGACGCAGGCGCCAACACGCAGTCGAACAGCTGTTTAATAAACAAACCGACGCGCCGACAGTTAGCTCAGTACGCAAAAGACACTTCGTGGATACACATCGCCAGAGATAGTCGTGGGGCACGTTACAAGTGCGCGCTAAACGGGCCGTTCGCCAGAACACAGACCCCAAACATCAGCTGCCAGAAATATTGCTAAAAAACCTAAAGAAGAAGTGGAAAACGAAATTCGGTTTACTCCAAAAGAATATAAATGAAACAAAGTAACAGAAATACAAAATCAGCAAATTCGAATTCCGTTTACTGCCTTCATTAGTCGTGACGTGTGTGACAGTTGGAGCCGTTGAACTCTTGGCATATATGCAAAAAAAGATCGACCACGATAAATTCGAAATAAATAATATACAGATACAGATTGTATACTAATTAAGGCTGTCGCGAAACAGAACTTTGATTCTCAAAAATAACAAATTATTTGTTTGTGCCTTTACGAAAATTGTGTATACGCACCTGTTTTCCGTTTTGTTTCGTTCTGTTCGTAAACAAAATTTGTTTTCTTGCTTCAGTGGTGTGTATAGAAAAAAATTAGGTAGATAAAACAAACAAATAATTTCAACGTATTGAAAGCTTCACTTCAGGTAATTTCATAGAGAATAGATAATCATATATTATAAACTACTTTCATATATATAACTTACGTTACTTTTGTATGCGGCTGGCGTACAACAGTATAAAATCTTTAATTTATTCAAACGATTCTCAAATAACAAATTTTAAGGACCTTGAACAAGTTTTTAAAGCGAACGCGAGTTTTTTGTCTTGCAAGATTTCGGAGCTCAGTTGCTTTGCAATTACTGCGAAACCAGTTATAAATGTGTAAAAATATTCAAACTGGAGTCAAGAAAAAAAAAAAAAAAAGAAGAATATACATACATATATATACACTTACATATATATATACGCATATAAAATTGCAAATTGCATACCCAAGCTCCAATCAAATCAAGCACATTTCTGTTAAAAAAAAAAAAATAGTGCACAACAGGAGTTCGCACTGAATTATTATTGTAATTTATGGCATTTGTTTGTGGCAAAATGTGTTCTAGTCAATTGGGTCTGGGCAGCTACACGTGCTTCGCTCAATGAGAACTCGATTACTTGAAACTGCTTGACAACCATTGACGGGGTTTCAGCGTTCAAATCAACAGGGTTCTGCCATCTTATATATGTATATGTGTGTGTGTGTGTGTTAGTCGGAATTCGGCAGCAATTAGTCAACAATAGTCAGTCGGCAACTGGTGGGTCGCTATAATAAAGTTGTATCTGAGCGATATAAATACTATGCCACTGATAAGGGGCATATTTCTCGTACCATAGTTCCGCAGCACGACAGAAACATCTGGCCTTAGTTTAGCTTGTTAGTCAGCGACTGCTGTTTATCTTGGTTAAAAAAAAAAAAAAATTGTTACAAAAATAGGGGTTTTTTTTTTTTTG